CTACACATAGGCATCTTCTGTTGTAGGCTGTGGCATATGCTATTTGGCCTCCAGCTGCTCTAGAAAGGTGAGACCTTTCCACAAGCCAGCTTTGCTGGATGTCAAACATTGTTGGCTACCTGAAATGACATCGAAAACCTACATCTAGGCAGTTGAATCTTCCCTTGAGTTTCATGCACTTCTTCAGACATGTTTCAGGTTTTCAACTAGACTTGAGAACCGGTAGCTCCCTCAAAAAATAAAAAAAAAAATGGAAGCTGATATTTTTATGCACACATAGCCTATGGGATCTAGATCCTTCACACCTGTTATGGCTGGGTAATTTAGGTATCAAAATTGGTTTATTTGACTGAATGTATGAGGAACTTAAATCTTCAACCTGACTAAAAAGACAGACTGAATCTACTCAGTTTCCTCGAACTTGTGGAGTCACCATCCTTGGAGATATTCAAAAGCCATCTGGACACAGTCCTGGGCAACCCCTTCTATGTGGCCCTGATTCAACAGAGAGGTTGGACCAAATGACCTCCAGAGGTCCCTTCCAACCTCAACCATGCTGTGATTCTGTGAACTTAGATGATACAGGCCAGGATGCCGTTGGCCTTCTTGGCCACCTGGGCACACTGCCGGCTCATGTTCAGCCGGCTGTCAACCAGCACCCCCAGGTCCTTTTCCGCCAGGCAGCTTTCCAGCCACTCTTCCCCAAGCCTGTAGCGCTGCATGGGGTTGTTGTGGCCAAAGTGCAGGACCCGGCACTTGGCCTTGTTGAATCCTGTCCTTACGCTCATCTTAAAGAGTTATGGTGAGTTTTGTGATATTTGTAACACGTAACATGTAGATGCAAACTGCTCTCCCACTGGTCATTAAAAAATTGTTATAATTGTTAAAACCATCAAAACTTTCTTTCCTCTGGTTGAGGAGACAAGACCTTAATTCTTCTCTTTTCTTCTTCTTCCCAGGGTCAAAGAGTTGACAAACTGGGGCCACCCTCAGAACCCTGGGTTGTATCAGCTCACCTCAAGGGCTCCTCCAAGGCTGTGTTAAAAGGTTTGGATGTATTTTCTTATAAGAAGGGTTATGGCAAAGCTGCTATGTGGAATGGTGGTGACAAATTTACAAGTTCTCCCTGAGAAAGATTGGATTTGAAAGATAGCTTTTGGGCAGAAAAAAAGAAGGTTGTAGTAGGAGTTTGGTGAACTGCCCAAACTGATATGCTAGAGAAAGAGAAGCTTACACAACGTATTTTCATGCTCTAGCAGCTTAAAGGGAGTATATTCAGTAGTTTATCTTGAAAAGATATATCTTAGATCAAAAAAGAAAAGAATGAAGAATTAGAAATCCTAATACTTGATTTTCAGCCAATGTTAATTGGAGCAATTTCCAACAGTGACAACCTGTTTGTACCAGCAGAGGATCTGGCCAAGTACAGACAGAAACAACTGGGTTGACGGTTTATGGGTAAGAATCAGGGGGAAGGCCAACAAGCAGATATCATGGTGGGATTCTGTTATAGACCACCCAACCAGGATGAAGAGGCAGACAAAATATTCTATAAGCAGCTGTGAGAAGTCTCGCAATTGCTAGCCCTTGTTCTCATGGGGGACTTCAACTTACCAGATGTCTGCTGGAAATACAATACAGCAGAGAGGAAACAGTCTAGAAGGTTCCTGGAGTATGTGGAAGGTAACTTCCTGACACAGCTGGTGAGGAAGCCAACTAGGGAACATGCCCCGCCGGACCTGTTGTTTGTGAACAGAGAAGCACTTGTGGGTGATGTGATGGCTGGAGGCCCTCTTGGGCACCGTGATCACAAAATTACAGTTTTCGATTCTTGGAGAAGTAAGGAGGGGGGTCAGCAGAGCTGCTGCCTTGGACTTCCGGAGGGCGGACTTTGGCCTGTTTAGGAGCCTGGTTGACAGAGTCCCTTGGGAGGCAGTCCTGAAGGGCAGAGGAGCCCGGGAGGGCTGGACATTCTTCAGGATGGAAATCTTCAAGGCGCAGGAGCAGGTCATCCCCATGTGCCAAAAGATGAGCTGGTGGGGAAGAAGACTGGCCTGGCTGAACAGAGAGCTTTGGCTGGAACTCGGGAAAAAAAGGAGAGTTTATGACCTTTGGAAGAAGGGGCAGGCAACTCAGGAGGACTACAAAGATGTCTTGAGGTTATGCAGGGAGAAAATTAAAAGGGCCAAAGCCCAACTAGAACTTAATCTGGCTACTGCCGTAAAAGACAATAAAAAAATCTTTCTGTAAATACATTAGCAACAAAGGAGGGCTAAGGAGAATCTTCATTTTTTATTGGATGCGGGGAGAAACATAGTGACAAAGGATGAGGAAAAGGCTGAAGAACTTAATGCCTTCTTTGCCTCAGTTTTTAATAGTAAGACCAGTTGTTCTGCAGGTACCCCGCCCCCTGATCTGCAAGAGAGGGACAGGGAGCAGAATGAAGCCCCCA